GCGTGTATGGGGTGAGGGTGGATGAGGGTGAGGTGTGGCGGGTGGTGGGGGGAGGAGAAGGGGTAAGGGGCCCCTGGCCTTTGATTCTGCGGCTGTTTTGCCTTTGCTGACCGAATTGAAAGCCACACCGTAGGAGGGGGAGGGGGGGGGGAGGGGGTGGTCACAGCCGGAGGGAGGCCTGGCGGAGGCGCACGATGGTAGGTACGGATTATGAAGAGGAGCAAGAGTGGGGAGGGGAGAGGCGGCCATGGCATTGGATTCAGGCTAGTCGTCCCGATGGTGCTGCACCATGCACTTCATCATGAATCATCATGAATCATGATGGTGGCGACATGACCGACGACCACCACCACTACCACCACCACTACCACCACCACTACCACCACCACTACCACCGCCATGAAACAGCCCCCCACCACCACACACACACACACATACATACACACACACACACAAACCCTTGGCAGTGACCACAACCAAAAGACACGCCCATCCATGGCAATATGCCATCATGCATCCATATTACCCTTCATGAAGATTGCCTATGACCGACAGCCACGGTAGCCACGGCAGCCATTGGACGAAACCAAGTTTGGAAGGTGTCAGAGGGTCTCATACTTGACGGCGAGAGCATCAGAGTACAAGGGTAGGGTTCTGTGAGGGGCAAGCGAGGGAACGACATCGTGACCTGTCCCAATCTAGGACACGGCATAGGTGTACACGTTATCGACCTACAACTCGACTTGCTGACGACAACATCGATCAGCGAGACATCATGGCGCTCGCTCATGAGGGCTGGGTCGTCGCCGCTGGTGACGACATGTTCGCCCAGCTGACGCCGTTCACGAAGGCTGCCGGTGAATCCGGTTCGGCACAGGGCAAGGAATGGGCGGCTCTGGCTCTGGGTGAGACCCATGGCGTGGGCATTACTGCAGATGGATCCGTATATCAATGGGGTGACGACATGACTCATGGCATCACACGCATGGTTGCCCTTGAGACGCTTGTGGTGGCCAAGGTCTCGCTGGGCTCGGAGCACTACATCGCTGTCACTGCTGATGGCGGCCTCGTTGCCTGGGGTCGCAACGACGTCGGCCAGCTCGGTCTTGGTAAGGCCACACCAGGCGCGGTCTCCAAGCCGAAGCGCGTCCGCCTCCCGCGTGTCATCGACGCCATCGCCGCTGCCAACTTCACCCTCGCCCTCACCGACGAGGGCACCGTCTTTGCCGCCGGTGACAACACAGACGGCCAGCTCGGCATCGGATCGACCAACAATGCGCCGGCGTTTGCCTCGGTTGCGCTCCCAGTCGGCATCGCTATCGTCGGCATCGCCGCAGGCGCCTCACATGTTCTCCTCCGCGACTTTGATGGCTCAGTCTGGGCCGCGGGCGCCAACCGTCACGGACAGCTTGGCCTTGGTACGTCGGCGCTTGGCCGCGCCGCCAAGTTCCCGTCACGAGTCAAAGGCGTCTCCGACATTGTCGCTGTCGCCGCCGCCGGCGATTCCTCGGCCGTTCTCGACGCTTCGGGTCGGGTCTTTACCTGGGGCGCCGGCGCCCGCGGCGTCCTTGGCCAAGGCTCCCTGGCCGATGCGCCGGCCCCAGTCGCCATCGCCGCCTTTACTGCTTCTATGTCGTCGATCGCCCTCGGCCCCTCCGCGCTCTTTGCTATGGAGGCCGAGTCTGGCGTGGTCTGGGCCTGCGGCTCGACGTCCCACGGCCAGCTGCTGCTCGACGAGGCTGTCGTTGACGACGGCACTCTGGTGCCGATGGAGACCTGCAAGGACGACACTGGCGGGAATGACACTACCCCGCCCAGCGCAGCAGCGGAAGACGCTGCCAAGTTCATCCTCACTCCGCGTCCTATCCCCGAATCGCCGTCGTGGCGCGTTCACGGCATGGCGCTTGCCGCTGATGTGACGCTGGTGGCGTGCCGAGGCGACGGCGGTGCAGATGCAAACGAGCAGCCTTCACTCACTTTTCCGGTCCTCACCCGCGTCAATTTTCAGGCGCTCTCGTGGGCTGCGCTCTCGGAACTCTCGTCCGAGACGCCGACGCCCGAATATGAGCGAAAGTTTCTGGAGGAGCTCCGCGGCGCCTTTGCTTCGCCGCCGACGCTCAACATGTCGTTTGTGGCGCGGGAAGAGGGAAGCTGTAGACACGAACTCGATCTCGATCTGGCGACAACGTTCTTCGAACACATCAACACCGCGCCGGTCGCGTCGCGGGTCCCGATGTCGCTCCTCGCCCACGTCCTCCGGCTCTGCCGCTCACTCCGTTCGCTGGTCTCGGACTCGCCGGCGTACTCGCTGAGGTTTCTGCACCTTGTCGGCCTCGCCATTGACGAGCGGGCTGTGCTCGAGTCGCCGGCGTCGTATCTTGATGCGATCGGGCAGTTCTGCAAGGTCGTGGCAGGCTTGCCGCCCAAGCTGCTCGACAGCTACGTCGAAACGCTGGTGCTGTACCCACAGCGCGCGTTCCAGCGGCTTGTTCGCATTGTGATTGCCTCGTTTGACGGCATCCTCTCGCCATACACCCAGAGGCAGGCGCCGGCGCGCCCGATCAAAGCTGTGCTTCCGCGCGCCGTCCATGAGGTGCTCGCCATGATTGCGGTGCTGTGGCAGGCCAACGGGCTTCGCTCGCAAGAGGCCGAGTCGGCGCTGGCGGCTCTTCCAAGCTCAGCCTTTGAGGCCGCAAGCTTACGGCCATCGCCAGACGCGCTCTCGCTGTTGGCCAACCACACGGTGGCGTACACAGGGGCTAAGCGATCTGCGACTCGGCTCGGAGCCACATCGTTCAACGTTTGCAAGACGCCGTACATTGTGCCGCTGGCGTCCAAGACTGCGCTCCTCCGCTCCGAGTTTAAGAACCGGCAGAACACAGCAGTGCAGCAGGCGGCGCTGGCATCGCTCTCGATGGGCAGCCCGGTGATCGAGCCACCGGCGCTGCACCTCCCGATCCGGCGCGACTTTATGTCGCTCGACATGATCAACTTGCTCAAGGAAATGGGCGACGAGATCGACGCTGACCCGGGCCTCCCGCTCCGCATCCAGTTCACCGAGGAGGAGGGCATCGACGACGGCGGCCTCACCCGCGAGCTCTTCACCACTGTGGCGCACGAGCTCTTTGCTGACACCGCCGGCCTCTTTGTCGTCAACGCTGCCGGGTACGTGACCATCGATCCGTGCCCGACCCGCGAGCTGGACGACTACCGGGCGGTCGGGCGGTTTGTGGGCCTGGCACTGTATGCCGGTGCACAGCTCGGCGTCCACTTTCCGCCGCACATGATGCGGATGCTGCTCGCGGAGCTGCGCGGCGAGCCGTCGCCGGCCCACGAGTTTGGCCTCCGCGAGCTGAGCGAGCTCGACGCCCAGCTCGCGCACGGCCTCCAGTGTCTGCTCGACTACGCCGGTGACGTCGAGTCGACCTTTTGCGCCAACTTTACGCTGCGGCTCGAGTCGCCGTCGGGCACGCGTGAGGTGGAGCTGCTGCCGGGCGGAGCCGACATTGCGGTGACGGCGCTCAATCGCGACACTTATGTCTCCAAGTACGTGGAGATGGTGCTTGCCGGCGCAGTGGCCGAGCCGTTTGCGGCGTTTGTGGCCGGCTTTGGCGCCACGTCCAAGTTTGGCTCGTCGACGCTTCTGCACGTTCTCTCGGCCGACGAGCTCGCCGAGCTGCTCTCAGGCTCCGACACGATGGACATGGAGGCGCTACGCAGCAACACACGGTACGCTGGTGGGTACACGCCGTCGTCTGGCCCCGTCGCTCGGTTCTGGGACTACGCCCTGGCTCTGAGCCCGGAGCGGCAGCGCAAATTGCTCAAGTTTGTCACCGGCTCGGACGTGCCGCCGCCCGGCGGGCTCGGCACGGTGCCGTTTGTCATCCAGCGGGCCGGTGGCGAGACGTCAGAGGCATCGCGGCGGCTGCCATCGGCACACACCTGCTACTCCATCCTCCTCCTCCCGCCGTACGAGACCGAAGACGAGCTGCGCGACGCGTTCGACCTTGCGCTCAACTCGGCGCCGGGCTTTGCGCTGCGGTGACGCTGAGGCAAGGCTCATGTCCAGAACGGCCACAGCGGCGCAGTGTTGGGCCGGACAGCGTACTGGTTGAGGATGACATGGTCGTCGAGGTCGACGTACGACTCGAGCCAAAGCAGGATGCGCGAGCGGGCCCGGAGGTGCGGCGTCCGCACAAAGCGCTCGTAGCAGACGACCGCAGCAATGGTGACGTAAACAGCAATGAAGACGTCGACCGAGTAGTGGAGGCGGGTCGAGACGATGTAGTAGAGCGAGAGCGTGGTCGGGACAACAATCCAGTACTTGAGCGCAAGCGCAAACGGGCGCCAGGCAATGCGCTTGAGGTAGGCAACAGGGCCGACCTGGATGGTCCGGTGGTAGCGGATCCAGAACAGAGAGGTCATGACAATGACACACGAGTGGCCCGAGAAAATGAGGTCGCCGCAGGTAATGACTCCGAGAGGGAAGAGCATGCGCAGGCCGCGGACCCAGATGTTGCCACGCTCGACCGAGTCGGGGTGGAAATCGCAGCGCGGCGACGGGTCCGGCAGCTGCGTGAGGGTGATGGTGAGCGAGCGGATGAGGTTGACGCAGCCGTAGATGGTCCAGAACCTCCGCGAGACAATGGTGGAGATGGACGAGCAGGTTGTGATGTACAGCATGAGCGCCACATGGATGCCGACGAGGTAGTCGGCGAGGACGGGAAACGCAACGAGGTCGACCATGTGGAAGACGACATCGTCCAGAACGGGTACCACCGGCCGCGACCGATCCGAGAGCTCGTTGCATATGTTCATGACGTACGACGCAGCGAGCGTCCACAGGAACATTAGGTAGCATCGCAGCGAGCCGAGGACATACGGATCCGACGCCAGATACGCTGTCCGCAGCGACGAGACCGTCTCCACGCCCATGTCCACCGAGGCCTTGACCGACAGACTGCGGCCGTCCTTGAGCGACTCACGGATCTTTGTTGTGATCCGTGACGAGATGCCCTGTGGCGTCCCACGCTCCGGTCGTCGCATCGTCTCTCCTCCGCGGGTCAAGGGCGAGGCCTGAGGCGAGGCCGACGGCGTGGCCATGGTGTGGATCAGCCGAGGGGAACGGGGGGCGAGGGAGAGGGGAGGGGGGAGGGGGAGGGGGAGGAGAGGGGGGCGGAATGTGGGGAAGGGGGGAGGGGGAGAGGGGGAGGGGGGGGGGGCACTGGAGGAGTGCGGTGAAGTGGGTTGTGGGCGGGGTGGTGAGTGCGGGAGTGGGGAGTGGGGGCTGTGCTGGGAGCTGGGGCTGCCGGGTCAGGGAGTGGGCGGCTCAAGGCGGCAGGTCAGGTGGGAAGGGTGAGGCTGTTTAATCACACAGACTTGAACATGTGGCCAGAGTACGGCCAAGGGTTAGCCGATGAGTAGAGGCGGCCCTTGTAGGAGATGGCACCAGCGACAGATGACGTGTCTGAAACCGAGTTGATGGACTCGAAGAGCTCAGCATTGTTGTTGCGGTAGATCCACATCTGGAAGAGAATGATGGACGACTCGAAAAGGACGCCGATGGTGCCGACGAGAAACGACGAGGTGGCGGCCCAAAAGTGCGACGACTTAAAGTCCGGGCCGGTGAGCAGGACCGAGAGCGCGTAGCAGGTGTTCGCTGAAAACGTCGAGACAAACATGATGGTGGAAAGGCCCTCGGTCCGCTTGCGCTTGGCGTTGAGCAAGATCTGTGGGATGCGAGCATAAAAGTAGAGCAGGCCCGAGATCCACGCAACGACAATGCCGATGATGTACTGGATGTGGCTCCCGCTGGATGCGATGAGGCAAGACTTGCCCACGGGGGCGGTGGCGTTGGTAGGCGCGGCGGCAGCGAGCAGGATGCGGCCGGGCACCATGTCTGCGGGCTCTAGAGCCGAGCTTAGATCTGACGTCGCAGGCAGAGCAGCGGCAGGGAGGAGAGCACCGGTGGAAATAGTGAGACCGAGGACGAGTGCCATGACGGCCACCGATGCGGCATGAGACGACGACGAGTAGGGATTGAAGGCCGGCGAGTCCTGGATGAGCGAGCGCGACTCGAGAGCATCCTGATCACGCTCGGCCTTGTCCTTGTTGTACGCGCGGATGCGGTAGTAGGCATACTGGGAGATCATGAGGGTGTCCATGGCGCAAAAGTAGATGGCGGTGTAGAGCTGCATCGGCAGCTGATGTGTGTAGATGCAGCCGACAAGATTGGCCACATCACCGAGGACCCATGCGGCGAGGAACTTGAAGGAGAGAGCCTCAACACCACCATTGCGATAGTTGCGATACAGCTGTGGCGCCTGTGCGTAGAGCCAGATGAGGATGTTGGCCATGCCGAGTAGCAACGCCGCCTGCTCCAGCGGGCTGTACGCGCATGCCCGGAACACCACTCCCATCCACTCTACGTATCGTCGTCCGTCCTTGACTGCCGGCGTGCACTGGCACATGTTTGTGCAGTGCGGTTGTTGGCTGGGGGAGAGGTGATCCCCTCTGCCACAGCCTCCTCCTGTCTCGTCCTGCACGTGACCATCGCACAAGCGTCTTTGCGTGCTGGTCAAAGACCTGGGAGAGACCTTCGTCTGGAACGAAGTGATCAGACATCCCAATTGGTTTGGGGGCGCGGTGGTGGCCATCGTCATACATGCCCGCCCACTACTGAGGGGTGCGGGTGATGATGGTCATCACCATGGTGTAATCTGCCGGGGGGGAGGGGGGGGGAGGGGGGGGGAGAGGGGAGGGGAGGGGAAGTCATGGCCAAAGTGAGCCGGGGCCGATGGGTATGGGTGATGGCGATACTGGAAATGGGGCTAGTGTGGGGCGTGTGATGGCCGTGAGTGTGGTCGTGGATTGCGTAGCTGGTGGTGGGTGGGAGCTAGGTGGTGATGAAGGTGGGCTGATCGGGCGAGCTCACGGAGGGTGGGGTCTGGAACGAAGCGATCAGACATGCCCAATAAGTGACCTGACGACACATCCGCGACCTAAGAGCAGACCCATCCAGGATGCTGCAATCGGTGATGGTGGATGATGAGGTGTGTGGTGGAATCGGTTGATCGTCCGAAAAGGGTGGGGGTGGGGGGGGGGGGGGGTGGCGCCAGCCGCCATCAAAGCGGGTCAGCCGACAGGCCACACCACAGCCGCTCCCCCATTACGGGCAGACCCCGAGACCACCACCACGGCCAAAGCCAAGGCCAAGTGCTGTCTCTCTCCCGAGATCACCAACCACAGACCCACCCCGTTCCTACCTACCTCCCCCGTGCTCTTTCCCCAACCCTAACCCCATACCCATGGAGAGCCCCGAAGCGCAGGGCTATCGGGTGGTGGGGCGTGTCGGACGAGGCGTGTCGGGAGTGATCTGGAAGGTCCGCAGGCAGAGTGATGGAGCTGTGTTTGTGATGAAGGAGATGGAGATGAAGTTGTTTGGTGCAAAGTCGGCCAAGCATGCCATGTCGGAGGTCTCTGTCCTCGCCTCGATGGCACACCCCAACATCATTGCCTTTGAGGAGGCTTGGACTGATGACAATCAACTGTACATCGTCATGGAGTACGCCGCCCGAGGGGATCTTGCCCGAGAGATCTCGCGCAAGCTCCGCAAGCACGCCGAGTACTACACAGAGGCCAAGCTTGTCAAGTGGTTTGCTCAGATGCTCCTCGGTCTCAAGCACATGCACGACCGCAAGGTCCTGCACCGCGACCTCAAACCGGGCAACATCTTTCTCGCCAAGGACAAGACCATCAAGATCGGCGACTTTGGCGCAACCACCATTCTCTCCCGCGCATTGTCCAAGGCCGAGACCACCGTCGGCACGCCATCGTACCTCTCGCCCGAAGTCTGCCGTGGCAAGCCATACGGGCCCAAGAATGATGTCTGGGCCCTCGGCGTCGTCCTCTACCGCCTCGCCACCTTTCGCTTCCCCTTTGAAGGTTCTACCCTCAAGTCGCAGATGAAGTCCATTGTCAAGGACCGCCCGCGCGCCATCCCGCGCCACTTTTCAGACGCCTTTGCCGGCCTCATCACCGCCATGCTCCGTAAGGACCCGCATGTCCGGCCCTCGGTCGACGACCTCCTCACTGCGCACCCCAAGGTCGACGCTGTCGCCCGCAAGCTCATGTCCAAGGCCGCCTACCGCGCCGCCGCTGAGCCCAGCGCATCAGCTTCCAGCCGCAGCGCACGCTCCCGCTCCCGCCCCCGCTCCCGCTTCCGCAAGGCCAAGGCCAAGCCGCCGCACTCGCGCGGCGATCGCGCCTACGAGACTCTCGAGGCCATGTTCCGCCGCCTCGTCCAGCAGCGCGCACGCCGCAAGCTCGACGAGCTCAAAACGCTTCAGGCCGAGCGCGCCGCCCTCGGTTCATCGTCATGCTCTGGCTCGTCATCAGCATCGTCGTCGTCATCGTCGTCATCGTCAGGCGCGGGCTCATCATCAGCCTCGTCGACAGCAGGCGCGTCGACCACCGCGGTCGACCTAGAAGACCTTGAGGCCCATCCGCGCGACAAGTACGAGCTCCCACATGATCCGCGCGAGGACGACATGTCGTGGCGGAGGCTGCCCCTCACTGACGCCGAGGGCTACATCGCTGCTGTCCGCTCACTTCGCATGGAGCACATGGAACCCGAGGTCCGCCTCGAGGCCACCATCAAGCTCGCCAATCCCGAAGACCACTCAATGTATGTCCGCCACCACAAGGGCGACCTCCTCCCGCGCAGACTCCTTGACAATGTTTCATCGCCTACCAAGGAGCAGCGGAGGCGGACGTCGGTCCTTCACGCCGCCTCGCGCTCGCGGCGCCGCTCGTCCGACTCGTCCGTTACCGCCACTGCCACAGCTGCCGCCACCACTACAGGCGGCACCTCGTCGTCCTCGTCGTCCTCGGGCTCTGGCTACAACTCTAACTCTATCACAGACTCGGACTCGTACACGCTTTCGGCCTCGACTTCTTCGGCAACGGTGACGCTTTTGTCCCGCAAGCCGCGCCGCGTTCGCCGCTCGACCCACACTTCGCGCTCCTCGGCCTTCCGCCGTGTCGCCAGCTCGCAGTTTGGGAGTGACAGCATCGAGAGCCGCCGCTCGCGTACGGGCCTGCGCGCCTCGGCCTCCATGTCGGGCCTCAACAGGCTCGCCATCGAAAAGGCGCGCAAGTCCTCGAGACGCTCGCCGCTCTCGCGCTCGGCTCGCTCATCAGCCCGCTCGGCTCGCTCAACCTCGCGCTCGACCTCACGCTCGACCTCGCGCGTCCGCGTGCGCAAGCCGAGCAAATCTCGGGCAAGGACCTCCCGTTCGGCCTCGGGCCGGCGCTGAAAGCCGTGCCCGCCGGCTACTTGCCACCCTCGCGACGCCAGTGCTCCTTAAATGACAAGCCTCGGCCGCGGTCCCGAAGCGGACGGTGCTTCTCAGAGGCTTTTGAGTGAGGCCCCAGGATCGAGACACCTTCGGCGCGCGCATACGCCTCCCAGTTGGCCTCGGTCCCAGTCACCTGCACGCCCGTCACCAGCGACGTGGTCATGGTGGCCAGCGTCATGGCCTTGATGGCATGCTCCTGCAGCATGGACTCCCACGCTGTGAGGACGGTACCCAGCGCACCAGGCTCGTAGCGAAGCGGCAGATCCTCGAACTCGACGTCGTAGAGGACGAGAGGGATCTCGGATGCCATCAGGTACTGCGGACGACCAGACGACTCGGAGGCCGACTCGAGGAGCCAGGTGACAATGTCCGGCGACTCGTCGCCGCGGCCGACCATGAACAGGACCGCCACCATGCATCGAACTTGGTGCCAGAGAAAGGCGTAGCCCTTGATGTGAAAGTAGTAGCCCTTGTACCGCTTGGTGAACCGCGCGCCAGAGGCCTCGGCCTCGCCCTCATCGTGCGAAAAGGCAGGCACAGGCACAATGTCAAACTCAAGCACATCGCGCACAAAGTTGGACACGTTCTTCCAGTCCATCTTGCAAAAGTTGCGAAAGTCGTGCCGCCCAACCAGCCGCCGCCCAGCCTCGCGCATGGCGTCAAGATCGAGGTCGTCGGCGGTGAAAAAGTAGCGGTACGTCCGCGTCAGCGCAGAGAACCGCGCGTCAAAGGTGATCGAGACCGGCGCCCACGCCACAACACGAATTCGTGGCGGAAGGACCCGGTTGAGAACGTGCGCGTAAGGAATTTCGTCGGCCTCATCGTCCGAAAGCTTGGCCAACGCGCTCGCATCCGACGGCACCGCCACAATGCCAGGCCCGCTCCGCAGCTTGGACCGAACCCGCAGGCCCACAACTTGCCCAAAGGCAGACACGCCCTTGTCCGTTCGGCCAGCCCGCGAGTATCCGGCCTCTTCCAGCGACGGCACAAGCTTGGTCTTGATCAGCGCCGCAAACAGATGCTCCTCCACCGTCTCGCGCACCTCGACCTGCCGCGCCAGCCCGTAGTAATCCCATCCGAGGTATGCCACCTTGAGCGCCACTTGCCGCACTGCAAATCGGTTCCACACAAACGCCCGCCCGCCCTTTTGCTTCTTCTTCTTGCTCTTCTTGCTCTGCTTGCCCGTCATCGCCGCGCCGCCCGCGTTCGCCGCGCCGCCCGAACTCGCCGCACCGCCCGAACTCGCCGCACCGCCAGCAACCTTGCGCTTCCGTTCACTGTCGCTCCCCTCTCCATCGCCTCCGCTGCCGGTCCCCGATCCAGCGTCGTTGCTCAGCAGTTTGCGCTTCTTGCGGGCAGTCCCGGCGGCGGCGCCCAGAGCCGGGAGCACAGCAGCTGGTCCGCCCGCTGCCCGGACGGCAGCCAGCTCAGCGTCCCGCTGCTGGAGTAGTGCCACCAGTTCGTCCCTCGAGCACTCGCCGTAGTTGGCCATGACTGGGTGCGGGGCGTGGGAGAAGAGTGGTGCTGCCGTTCGGCGTCGGCGTCGGCGCGCCGGCAAGTGCCGTGTTGGTCCCTTGAGCTGTGGGCGGATCCCGAGGTGGTGGGCGGTGAAGCGAGGTATTAGTCCCGATCACAGGCGATAGTACGTATCAGATGAGGAGAGTGGAGAAGGAGGTGGAAGGTAGTGTGCTTTATGTCTTGAGTGAGGTGGGAGACGGAAGCGAAGGAGCGACGCAAAGGCTGGAGGTTGAGGATGGGCGAGGGGACGGCGGGATGGACTCGAAATTGTAGATCACCGAAAAGGCGGGTGATGTTTACTATGTCACCGCAATGGCTTTGTTTGTGGACGAGCTGTTCAAGCTGAGCTGGACGTGGCTCGCACGCGTTGAGACGCTAGATGGGCGGATGAAGAGTGGCGACGAGCAAACAAACAGTTTAAGAGCAAGAATGTGCGAGTTACTCGGCACGCTGGATCGGCTGCTTCTCCCGGAGCTTGTCGGTGACCGGGACAGTCTCGAACGGCAGGCCAAAGCACGGGCGCTCGATGTAGCGGCCAGAGCCCTTGACGCCGGAGAACTCACCAGCGGCCCAGTCTGCGACACCGTCAGCGATGACGGCCTTCCAGACGAGGCGGCCGGCGCAAACGGTAAAGGCCGGGACGCCGGTGACCTCGCGGCCCTCCCACGGGTTAAAGTCGACCTTGACGTGGTGGGTGTTGACCGAGATGACCCGCTTGGCGTTGGGGTCCATGACGCAGATGTCAGCGTCCGAGCCGACGGCGATGACACCCTTGCGCGGGTACATGTTGAAGATGCGCGCGGCGTTGGTCGAAGTCACAGCCACAAACTTGTTGACGTCGATGGCTCCCTGGACTACCATGCGGTCAAAGAGGACCGACATGCGGTCCTCGATGCCGGCAGTTCCGTTGGGGATCTTGGTAAAGTCGTCGGCGCCCATGGACTTCTGCTCGGTACAGAAGGTGCAGTTGTCGGTGGCGGTGGTGTCGGCGACGCCGGCGGCGAGCGCGTTGATAAGCGCGTCAGGGTTGCCAGCCGGGCGGAAGGGCGGCGACATGACGTAGTGCATGGCGGCGCGCTTGTCCTCCTGGAAGTAGACCGAGTCGTCGATGGTCGCATGGCCAGCAAGCACCTCAGCGTAGCAAACCTGGCCGGCGGCCTTGGCGCGCGCCACCACGTCCATGGCCTCCTTGCACGAGACGTGGACAATGTAAACCGGCGTGTTGATGAACTCGCCGGTGCGGAGCGCACGGTCGGTGGCCTCCGCCTCACACTCGACAGGGCGCGACCACGGGTGGCCCTCGGGCCCGGTGATTCCTGCCTCGAGCATCTTCATCTGCCCGCGGTACACCATCTCGCCGTTCTCGGCGTGGACCGTGCAGAGCGCGCCGAGCTCCTTGGCGCGGGTGAACGAGTTGTACAGCGCCTCGTCGTCGAGCATGAGCGCACCCTTGTACGCGAGGAAGTGCTTGAACGACGCCACACCGCGCTCGCGCGTCAGGATGCCCATCTCCTCCTCGACCTGGTCCGACCACCACGTAATCGCCACATGGAAACCAAAGTCGCACTGTGCGTCTGCAGCCCACTCCTGCCACTGGTCAAACGCCGCCAGAATCGACTGGCCGGGCGACGGAATGACAAAGTCGATGATCGACGTTGTGCCGCCGCACAGCGCGCCGCGCGTTCCGGTCTCAAAGTCGTCGATCGCCACCGTCGACATGAACGGAAGCCGGCAATGCGTGTGCGTGTCCACGCCTCCGGGCATCACGAGCAGACCGGTCGCGTCCACAACCTGCGTTCCCTCGGGGACATCCAGGTCGAGGCCCACGGCAGCAATCACACCATCCACACAGAGCACGTCCGCACGGAACGTCTGATCCGCGTTGACAACATCTCCGCCCGAGATAAGGAGCGGCGGCGCAGGGGCAGTAGTATCAGCCTGTCCCCCCCCCCCCCAAACCCCCAACCCCAACGCATTCGTACCGTTTGTGTGAGTGACGTGACAAGACATGACATTGATGCAGAGGATGGTACAGTTCAAGGGATAGTCGGTGTGACCATGTCCCCCCCCCCCCAAAGCCACCCGCCGAAAAAAGTGAGTCCTAAAAAAAAGGTGTCCAACGAGGCGAAAGGTAAGAGAGGACGCCGACAAGGGAAGCCGGGGCAAGCGGCAGGGTATGGGCGAGGCGAGCAGGAGGGGACCGATTGCAGAAGGTGGTGGGATAGTTATGACACAAGCAAGTGGAGTATGCTTGCTTGCGTGTGTATGCGAGTGGGTAGGTCTCCTGGTGGCTTTCTGCATCCAGGGTGGCGAGGTGAAGGTCATGGTCTTGCGCCCTCCTGACCTCCCTCTCGTCGCCGACGCGTGTGATCGTTGCCACGCAGCCCAGACGTAGCCAGCCCCGGCTGCACGGCATGCAGAAGAGACTCATGAAGACCACTGCGGGGAGAGCAACTCCAAAAGAGCAACCCTACGTACTCGTTCTCCCACAGCCGTGTTCTTCTGGTCCTCGTTAGCCCCTCCCCCCCCCCCCCCCCTCCCCCCCCCCCTTCACCTCCTGAAGGAGCATACCATGTTCGTTTCTTTGATGTTGTTGAGTGGTGGCCAGCGCCAACGATTGGTGTCTCGCGTGCGACGACGGACGATTGTGGGCGGATGATTGTCGACTCGGGCGGGCACATCGTCGCGATGGATTCAAGTCATTTTTGCGGGTTTATGCTGTGGAAATGTGCAGGAGCAAGAGCAAAGTGTGAGCTGGAGATGGACGGCTGTGACGACGGAGGCTACGGGCCATCAGCTACGAGCGCGCGCCGTTCTCCTGAAGGAGCATACCATGTTCGTTTCTTTGCTGTTGTTGAGTGGTGGCCAGCGCCGACGATTGGTGTCTCGCGTGCGACGACGGACGATTGTGGGCGGATGATTGTCGACTCGGGCGGCGCACATCGTCGCGATGGATTCAAGTCATTTTTGCGGGTTTATGCTGTGGAAATGTGCAGGAGCAAGAGCAAAGTGTGAGCTGGAGATGGGCGGCTGTGGCGACGGAGGCTACGGGCCATCAGCTACGAGCCATCAGCTACGAGCGCGCGCCGTTCTGTGGGGCGGAGGCTGCCTGGGTGTACGGCACACCCATGGGCGAGATGACGAGGTCGCGCGGATCAAAGCCGCCGTTCATGCGGAGGACCTGCTGCTGAAGAGTGGCCGGAAGGAGGGCGTTGGGGTTGTCGGCAAAGCGGCCGACGGCGGCGATGCGGGCCTGCTCGATGGTGGCCTGGACCTCGAGCTCGCGGAACTTGAGGTACTCGGGGTTTTCGGAGAAGATCTTTGCCATCTTGAGGGCAGCTTCAGCGGCGGCGTTTGCGCGGACGATTTCGGCCTCGGCTTCGAGGCGGGCAATGCGGAGCTCGGCCTCTGCGCGCTTCTCGCGCTCGACGGCGGCGACGACGGCGGCGTTCTCGGCCTGGATCACCTGGGTCTCACCCTGAATGCGGACGCGCTCCTGCTCTGCCTCCATCTCGCGGCGGGAGCGGGCCGACTCGGCCTCGACCTTTGCGAGCTCACGCTCGTCGCGGACGGCAGCGATTTCGGCCTCGCGGCGGGCAGCATTCTGCTCGCGCGAGAGCTCGGCCTCTGCGGCCTCTGCGATCTGGGCCAACTCCTGGCGCTTGAGCTGGGTCTGGTGGTCGTGCTCGCGCTGGTTGCGCAGTGCCTGGGCCTCGTGCAGCCGGCGCTCACGCTCAATGCGGTCGGCAACCGGGAAGCGGAGGTGGCGAACCTCGATGGAGAGGAGGCGGACGCCGACGGCTTCGCCGGCAGCGCCAAGCGCGGGGCGAACGTGGGCCTCAAACTCGTCAAACTTGACCAGCCGCTGCTGCTCGAGCTCCGACTTGCAGTAGCTGCCGATCTCGTCCTGGACGAGCGAGTCGAGCTTCTCCTCAAAGTAGTCGAACGGGTCCTCAAAGGCCTTGCACTGGCGGACCCAGAGGTTGCCGTCGCGAAGCCGCCACTGGAGCTGGAGCTTGATCTGCGCCTCCTCGACGTCGGCGGTGAGGTAGACCTTGACGTCGGTGGTGCGGGTGGTCATCTGCGAGTTGAGCCAGTCGATAAACTTCTCGTCACGGCGAACGGCGGTGACGCCCTCGCCGGTCCGGACGTGGCCGTCACCACGCTGGACGGCCCAGACGTAGCCCGGCTCGGCACGGAGGAACTGGACCGAGCCGACCGAGATGCGGAAGCCGGCGCCCTCGCGGTCCTCGACTCGGCGGTCGACAAGCTCGCCATCAATCATCTCCTGTGACTCGCGGATGATGTTCTTGAACTCGAGGTCGCCCGGCTCGCGGAGCGAGACAAAGTCCGAGAGGTGGTTGGGCGTGCGGATGATGTACCGGCCCTTGCCGATGATGTGCGACTCATCGCCGATGTTGAGGACGGCAACCTGGTCGTCGCGCAGGTGCGCGTACGTGATGTCGCCGTGGTTGAGCCGCCCGCCGGGCCCCGGAATGGGCGCCACGGCGTGCGAGGGGAGCTTGCGCCCGAGGCCGATGCGTGTGTACGAGCCCGGGCGGAAGAACATGGTCCGCGAGGCGTTGTCACCGAGGCCGACGTGGCCCGGAGGGACGCGCTTGCGCTTAAAGTACCGCCGGCGGCCCGAGTAGCTGGAGACCAGGTCGGGATCGAGCCGGATGAGGCCCTCGAGCAGGCCTTCGTGCTCGTGGAGCTTGACAAAGTGCTCCGACTCTTCGACGTCCTCAACAAAGTCGAGGTTCTCCAGCGGATCGTCCGGGTTCTCCACATCGGCCACGGTCTTTTCGGCGAGCAGGCGGCGGGTGATAGCAGCCTGCGACTCGCGCGGCTTGGACGTCATGACATCATCGGACGAGTCGGACGACGCGCCCGAGGAGCTTGACGAGCTCCCGGCCCGGGCCCTTGACGAGCTCGCGGCGGCCTCCTGCTGTTCTTCGGGGCGGACACGGTTTGCTGACGGATTTCCCATGCTTGTGCAAGATGTTGTGTATGGAGCGATGTGTATGAATTGAAGGTTGTTGATGACGGGTGGTGTGGGGAACTCGAGGTGTGCACGATGGTCAGAATGTGTCCGTTGGCTTTTTCTGTGTTTTGTTTTTTCCCATGATTCTTGGTATGAAGCCATTGATTAATGGTATGAATGGCTATTGATTATGGGTGACCATTGATTAATGGTATGAATGGCTATTGATTATGGGTGACCATTGATTAATGGTATGAATGGCTATTGATTATGGGTGACCATTGATTAATGGTATGAATGGCTATTGATTATGGGTGACCATTGATTAATGGTATGAATGGCTATTGATTATGGGTGACCATTGATTAATGGTATGAATGGCTATTGATTATGGGTGACCATTGATTAATGGTATGAATGGCTATTGATTATGGGTGACCGTGGTATGAATGGCTTGTGACCAAGACTGAAGAAACAGCCGCGCTATCCATGATGGTCACTAGGCAGGCCCGTTGTCATGGCTGTTTCAGGTCATTTAAGGATATCAGCAAGGTACAGCACGGCACGATGTGTGCAACCACCTTTATCGCAGCCAGGGGCAGTGGCAAGGGCAGTGGAGTTCAATACAGCCACCGCCGCTGGAACCAGTTGTGGAAGCAATCGCCCTTGTAGACAACAGGCGTCATGTACGAGCCCGGCCAGGCACCAAACTCCTTCTGCGAGACGCCATGCGCATCGGCCGGGATGTAGATGTCGTGGCCCGGCCATGCCTTCCAGGCCACCGCCTTGAGCGGAAAGATGTCGTCCCAAGCACGCTTGCGGTAGGCGACGTCGTCGTAGGCGGTAGAGACAACGCGCGAGCCGTCGGCGAGCTTCTCCTCGCGCCAGAACCAGATGTCCATGTGCGGCGAGTTGAGCGGGTTGGCGCCCTCGTATGGCATGATCTGGATGGCGTCGCGGTCGTCCCAGACAGCATACATACCGGCAGCATTGATAGCAGCAATGAGGGCGGCAGGCCCATCGTCTGGAAAGACTATGGAGATGTCTGTGTCGTGGTCCCACTCGTTGATACTCTGCCCGCGGATGACGGCGAGCAAGGTGGCGTAGTCCATCCAGTACGGCACGTTGTGCTCCTCGAGCAAGGTGATGACCGAGCGGGCGATGAGGATGGTCTCGTCATGGTAGCGGGCTGAGACAGCACAGCGGTAGACCGAGTAGTACGCCTCAAATACAAAGAACCACGCAATGGAGAGCCACATCAGCAGCAGCAGCGCCTTGACCACCACAGGCGGAATGGCAGCCAGAGCCGTGACCACCGACGGGCAGCGAGCGCCCAAGCCATGGCTCCTCCGCAGCCTCCGCTTGGCCACCACCACAGCCCCAAACACTCCTGCAAAGAACAGGAACGGGTTGTGGTCTGCGTATGCCTTGACCGTCATTGCAGTCGAGTCTGTCTCCTTGCCCTCCCCCTTCCCCCC